GGATTTGTAACTAAGCTCATTTTAAAGATATTCACAAGCATACTGGAATTTAGTCAGCATATGTCCCCAGCCACACAAGAGCACAGAAATTGACTGTTTGCCTGTGGGCAAACATCTTTTTCATTTGCCAGTGCAGTCACTGACTTCTGTTTAGAAAACTTTCTTAAATGCTTATATTGACCGGGATCGTGTTTCAGCAGTGTTTACTGCAGTAACATGTGTAATGTTCAGTTTTACTTTTCCAGTCATGGAGTGCTTCACAGAAGCAGCTAGTTTGTGTAGTCACTAGTTTCATTAAATTGCTGGGATGGGGTTGGATGTGTCTTTAGTTCAAGGTACGTTAATTGCTTCAAATAATTCTCTTATAAAATCGTAATGCCTGAAATCTCTTTTCAATCTGCAATATTTAATTCTTTCACTGTAGTCTGGATCAAAATTCAGGGCACCTCCATCGTTTTTGTCTTGCTGGCCCACACCCTTCCCAGCAGGACCACTGGTAAGTCACAGGAGAATGAGGAAGAAAGTGCCAGAGAATAAAAATGATTGTGTGCAGTCATCCTACAGGAATCCTGTTTCTCCCATGCTTTGAACTTACTCTTTTTTACTTGCTTGTTTCCTTGAGAAAAGATGATCTTATTTAACTCCTTTTCAGCACATGCATTGAGTATATACTCATGTTTTTCAGTTTTATATTTTGATCTTTGATCTAGAACTGGTTGGTGTTTAATCTGGGATATGCCCTACTGAAACAAAGACATTTCCTTTTTTCATTTCTTAGTTGATTCCTCCTCCACCACCTATGAGGCTGGATTCTGAGGATGATGAAGCACTGGGGAGCATGCTGATAGCCTGGTATATGAGTGGTTATCACACTGGGTATTACCTGGTATGTGCCAGTTTTGTCTTGGAGTGTCTCTGTAATTTTGCTTTTGTGTTGCTGCTGCTGTTTTCAGCAATAAGTTAGACTGCTTTTTAGATCTCTTATTCTAACTTATGATAGCTGTATTTAAGGGTATTCTATATTGTATAAGTGTTCTTGGGCTTGAGTATCAGTCGCATGAGCCAGCATATATGCATAGGTGACGATTTAGTTCTTTGATTCACTGGAGTGGTCCCATTAGGTACTTTTATAGCTATTCTGAAACAACCAGTTTTGTCTTTGCAGACAGGTGGAGTAAATCTGAATATGTTTATTAATCAGTGGTCTTCTATGTATTTGTCAGTGGTAATACCACATTTTTGATCAGATTTGGCATCCAACCCAAACTATTCTGTGATTCTATTCTATGAATTTTGTGGAGTATTCATCAGTAATTGTTTCAGGTGACTGTGAAGGTGCAGCAGGAGCTGTGAGTGTAGTTGTGAAAAATCTGTGGCATGGAGTATTGATTTCTATTTCCTTTGTACGCTTAAGAAGAAATTACCAAAGGAATTAAAACTCTTTGCATTGGGGAGGTTGGAAAGGGGAGATTTGGTGCTTAGGTTATCTTCAAAGGACTAGGTTTGGAATTTGTTTTTTCAGATCACATGTAGTTGTGGATTGAAATTACACTGCAGAGCCACTAATTACAAAGAAGACACGTAGTTTGGCTTTTGTCCTTTTAAAACCACCCATTCTGATTTCCCCAAAGAGTACAAAACTATTCTTGATTTGTAAAGGGCTAAAAGAATATTGTAGAAAGATGTGTTGTCCTGTGGCTAAAGCTTTTATTTCTACGTTAGTAAAACCAAGATTATTTTGCTAAATTGTACCCTGTAGGGTTTAAAACAAAGTCGAATGGCAGCAGCACTGGAGCAACAAACACATGCAAAATAACTGAATATCCATGATTGTTTTGAAAGAGTTGTATCATCCTTTTGAGCTAAATGAAGATACAGTGTGGCTTGACCAGTCTGAAACTACAGTTCATTTTGCAAGCTCTCAAGAAGTTCTGAATTCTGTGAAAAAACTGGGAGCCTTGGGACTTCCACCCACTTTTACATCTCTTCGAAGACCACTTCATCCAGTATTAATCCCTTCTTTGCTTATCAGCTGTGGAATAGCAGCCGTCTTGGCTAGAACAGAGGCAAGTATTTTATTTCTGTAATGAGAGTTTTAACTACAGCACGCCTTTACATCAGGATTAACAGCACGGCTTACCAAGAGTTAACCAACTCTTACCAAGAGTTAACCTTACTTGTTTATGGGCTACCTTGAAAATAAAAGGTTATGTGACATGCAGTCTTCTCATCTATGTGCACATGTTCAGAAGCAACTCCTTCCTCAAACAGTGGGATTGCAGGATGTGTAGCTGAACTTCTTTTCAGGTCAAGATCAACATTTCAGTTTGATATTGTGGAGTGATTCTGTTCTCACTACTTCAGTGCTTGAGCTTTTATTTGAAATCCTGTGTTTAGAATGCTACAGTATATTGTTCAGTTCCTTATAGAACAAAATTGTATTGTCTTGGGGATTTCTCTTTTCCAAAGCAATATCTGGTTTACTGTTGAGTAATTCATTCAGCCAGGTACAAATCTTTTCTGCTGAGAGGTGTATGTTGCATATTCACAGCTAGTTAATGGTGAAGATCAGAATTTTTTTAAGAAATTAATCTTAACATTTTGTTAACACTGATCTGTATCTGATAACAAGTGAACTTGAGACTCATAATTGTGTAGACTGAAATTACCTATTTCTTAAAGACCTCTAGTCAAATGTATTTGGAGAGCACTGTAGCAATAAACTCTTTTTTACTTTCCTGAAACAATTTTCTGTCTTTTTACCATAATAGATTTTACATCTTTTAACCCCATATGATTTCATTTATCTGTTATTTTATCAGCTCTTGTATTCCCTGGACTTTTTATGTGAATGACAACACCAGAACCTAGTGATTACAGTATACTGTTTTAGGAGACAGCTGTAGCAGCAGTATATGTTACAGTAGCCACTGGTAGCAGTGGCCTGGAAAACAGTATACCATGATGTTGAAAGAGATATCTTATAGCTCTGTTCTGAATCCTGAATGTGACATATGACAGCTGGATTCATAAAGGCTCATTACATATTTTTTTGTTTCAAATGCTTGTGAATAGTTTTACTTTTCAAACTTTGAATTTAGGGATTTGTTTTGTTTTGGAGTGGTTTTTATTTTTAGCTTCTGTAGACAGATGTCTGTCAAATGAACAGCAGAAATACAACAGAAGGTTTTGCTGTGTGGCCTTTTCCCAAGTACCGTTAACTAAAAGCAAGTTGGAAAAAGCAGACTGGGGGAAGGTGTGGACCAAATAGGTTTCAGCCCTTAAAATCTTAACTCTCATAGAACGGAGGCTGCAGCCAAAACTCTGGACAGTAATTTAGTTCATGCCATAATGCTCCTCTATCTCTCCCCCTCCTCCCTCTAACAGTCTATCCCCCAGTTTTGCTGTGTGCCTGTAAAAGATCCAAGGCCCAGCTCTGGTAAGACACTGGTGCATTACCTTGGCACACACCACTGCAGAGATGAGGAAGATGCAGGCAGAGCAAGCAGGGTGGCCATAGCAGACACCTTTTCTTTGCTTGAGTGGGGTGTTAGGCATGCTAATGCTCAGCGTCAGTGCTCCTAACATCCTTTTGCATGAGTTAGCAAATAACTGCTTTGTCCTTCTTAGTGTGTATGCTCAAGGTGTCTGGACAACCCAACCCAAGAAGAGCTGTGAACATCGCCCACAGGAATATGTCCTGCACAAAACCTGTCCACTAGCTTCCCACAGTCCCCCAGACTTGGACTCAGCTTTTTCCCCTCCCACCAGCTCCTCTGCAGCAGTTCTGTGGCCATGCTCTGCATGCTGGGTTGGGGTAGTTTGCTGCCAATAGAACAACACACTGCCATTCGCCAGCAAAGGATGATTGCTGTTCATCACTGCAAAGCTGATTGCCAGTAGCTGCCCTGCAGAGATGCTTTCTCCACAGCTGGGGTCAACACCTGCAGGCAGGCAGCCACTGTTTGGGAGCAGATGATTGAGCACTGCAGGTATGTGAGCCACAGGGCTCAGAAACACCTTTACCTTCTGCTGCAGAAGGGAGCTGCAGCAGCTAAGCAAGCAGTTGTTTTAACTGCAGTCAAAAAACTTTAAAAAGTCAACTGTTTCCAACATAAGTAGTGACAAGCAGGAATTGCATGGTCCTTAATGAAAGGGAATGTAATTTTTATTAACTAAAATACTGTCAGTACTTCTCTTTGCTAAAGTGGGCTTACTGACACTAGCCTTCTCAAATACAGCTTATCTTGGAGAAGTAGTAACACTGTGATACGGCAACCACAGAAAATACTTTACTGTGTCATGGTTCAGAATGCAGCAGATGGCTACAGTTCAGCTCCATACAGTCAAATTCCGCTCCCCCACCTCCAAAGGGCTGTGTTTATCTTGGAGAAGCAATAACGCTGTAAGTTACTGCTGTTGTGGCAATTCATTCTAGCGTCAGAATCAAAATAACATCACTGTCGTCAATACTGTGACCATCAAACAATGAACTGTAAAATCTCAAGTCTTAGACCTTTGCAAATTCATTGCCTTTCAGAACCTTACACTCCCACAAGAAAGTGAGACCTACACCACTCAACAACAGACACAGCAGTCACAGAATTCAGCTGGCTTTGAGTCGTACCATTAAAACCCAAAATGCGTTTTCAGCACATCTGTAACAGCTGTATTTGAATTGCCCTACTGAAAGCCAAGGTGAATAGCCACACTATTTGAAATGATTATCTGAAAGGTCTCCCAATTAATTGCTCAAAAGCATTTTTATTAAGTACTTTAAAAAAAATAATAATAATTTTGATTTACAAAACTGTATCATCCACTAAAACTTGGAGCTTACGGATATATAAAACATATTTTCAGGACTTCTCAACATACAATGAAAGGTGAATTGCCCTATCATAAAACCAGTTTTGTCACTTTCACATTTATAAATATACATGTTACTCAGAGTAACATTCAGAAAACCAGAGCTTTTGGACAAGAACAAAGAAAATGGATACATATAATCCAAGAATATATTAGAAGTAGCAAAATCATTAATACATTAGTAAAAAAGTTTGCTCCCAAGCCAGTGTTCATCCTTCTGTAATCATCTATGTCCTTGTTGCTTTGAAGTGTCTCACTGAAAGCCATGGCTGAGTATGCAAACCAGATTTATGCAGGAATTACACTGATAACGGCATCATGCAGACGTGGCAGCAGAGTTCCCATGAACACACCCAGGACAGCAGTGCAGACAATCATGAATAAATAGATCACAATCCACGCAAAATACATTCTGACACACTTTACATATGTAAACCTATGTGGAAAAGATACAAAAGTCAAATTTAGATTAAACAAGAAAAAAAAATAGTCCTGCAGTAGGTCAACAGCTGTGTCATCAAGACACTGTAAACAGACTGTACTCCTAACATCACAGAAACCCAGTTAATTAAAGTTTCTAACAGCAGGTATGTCCAAAGGGCTGAGCTTGAACCACTGTAGATGCCTCCAAATGGGTGAGTGGAAGCTTATTTATGCAACTGTCAAGGAAATCACTTCCCACACCTTTATAGTCTTTGCAGTCTAAAAGGCATGACTCTGTAACAGAGAAGTTAACCATGAAATAAACTTCCACACATATTTTTCTCATCTTCAGAAGACTATACTAAAGGATCATCTCTGCTTCTGACACTCCTCAATGAGAATTCCATTGCAGTTCAACATACTTACATTTTGATCTTTCATTTCTCCCTGGCAGCCTTGACAACACCTAAAAGCAAAATTGTGTATTTTAACTGAAAAAAAAGGTCATGATTGCATGAAAGTGTTTAAGAAACATCTCATACATAGTAACAACTTATGGCAACTATTTCATCTATTCAACCAAACACACAGGATAACCATTTACAGGAACGACAAATATTTCTTATTGTAGGTGCCCCAAATCACCCAAACATTCAATACTGTTTCCACACCAAAGAAGGTACTGCCAGCTATGCTTACTTAAGTGATCAAAAAATTACAGGGTCCGCAAGTACACTCATTATCACAAATATGATTTGCATACCGTTCCCCCTGATACTCTGTCAGAGGAACTTCCTGAAAGGCATCCAAAGGAAACAAGTGATGGTAAGACCGAGCCAGATGAGGTGCAGAGACTAATGTGAGACCTGCAAACAGACATCAAAATTGGTACAAGAAAGGACTTGCTGAAAAGCTTTCCTGTATTAAACAAAGTGGGGGGGGGGGGGGGGGGTGGAGATATTTTTCAATTACTCAGTGGTTCAGAACATTTAAGAATTAAAAACCATAGAATTGTTTCTTAGTTTGCATAATCCAAACCTGTAATCATTTCCAGAGTTAAACCCAAATACGAAGCAGCCCAAATTTTCTAATGAAAAGGTTTAGCTCAATATTTAGAAGTACATTTACAATGCACAGTTGTAAAGTTAGGAAGTTTTTCATCCTCATGCCATAAGCAAAATGCAACCATAGAGGAGCCATCTGTTTAAATCTAAATGCACTCCTGTTCCAAAGTCCTGTTTGGAAACAATAGTTCTGCTGTTTCATGTCACCAGTTAAAATGATGTCTAACTACAGAGCTCTACTTCTAACATGCCACAGCTCTGTTTCAGCTAACAGGTCTACTTGTTTTGGCTGGGGTAATTTTCTCCATAGTGGGTCTAGGCTCTGTTTTGGATCTGTGCTGGAACCAGTGTTAATAATTCAGGAATTTTTTAATTACTGCTGGGCAGTGCTTACAAACAGTCAAGGCTTTTTCAGCTCCTCACCCCACCCCACCACTGAGCAGGTGCACAAAGAGCTGGGAGGGGACATAGCTGGGACAGCTCACCCCAACTGATCACAGGGATATCCCACACCATATGGTGTCATGCTCAGCATAGAAAACTGGGGAAGAGGAAGGAAGCGGGAGGACACTTGGAGTTATGGCATCGGTCTTCCCAAGTAACTGTCAGACGTGACAGAGACCCGCTTTCCTGGAGATGGCTGCTGATGGGAAGCAGTAGATTAATTCCTTACTTTGCTTAGCTTGTGCACATGTTTTTGGCTCTACCTATTAAGTTGTCTTTACCTCAGCCCACTAGTTTTTTCACTTTTACTCTTCTGATTCTCTGCCCAATCCCACTAGCAGTGCGTGAGTGGCTGTGTGGGGGTTAGTTGTCAGCTGGGGTTAAACCACGACAACAGGTTAGCTGGGGTATGGGCTGGCACAAACTTCTTCATCACTCATATGCAGTGTAAACTTCTGAGCTCTTGTTCTACTGACAGCTATAGCTGTGGGGAATCTGTTGTTGATACATAGGATTTCTCCGGTTACCCTACTGCTTTGCTGAAATGCAACTCATGCTGATACGAAAACCTTCACATAAAACTAGGACAAGGTGACCCAAGCTAAAGTTATTTCATTTTCTTGCCAAATACACACATCTTGGTAACACCTATAATTTAGTCATATGCCTGTAGAAGCTAACATGAGGACAGCTGTCGCTCACACTGCATTAATACTCTAAAAAATGCTGATCCTCCCTCCTACCCTCATTTAAGCAGGGCAGGGGCACCACTGGTTGCATTAACTTTTGCAGCACCAAAGGGCTTCCATTTACAACCCTATAGCTTTTCATGTGTCACTGTGCAGCCTGACCTTGAGTTCAATTTTGAAACCTCTCACCCACATACCCCCAGAGGGGTCCTTCAAAGTCTATCTTCATGGCCTGGCATTGAGGAGTCTGAAATATTGGTGTGTCTGTTAAATCGGGATTCTTCAGGAAATTATTACCATTCATATATGAATCACTCTTCTTCCTCCCTTTGCTTTAGGGTTTTTAGTTCACAACATACAAGGGAATATGATACAACTCTTCTGTCACAGGTATAGTCCTGAAAGTCCCTTGTACGATGCTGACGCAGGAATGCAGGCTTCTTGAAGCAGAGCTGGCTTTTAATTCCTAAGTGTAGCTGAATTTTTCTAACCCTTAATTTTTTCAACATTAACTCCTAATTCATCTGCTCACCTCTTCTTGCTACTCACCACAGATTTTGCACTCCACGGGAAGTTCACAGTATTTGGCTCTGCACTGTGGACAAAAATATCCACCCAGTGAAAGACCTGGCTCACTGTTGTTTTCCAGTTGCCTAGAGCAGAGAGAGACAATTTAATATCCAAGAGGTAACACCATAGCACAAATACTACACAGTTCTCACAATAAGTACTTTGAAAAGTTTCAGTAGCTTCCATGCAACAGTTCCATGCGTATGGAAGTTTCAGAAAGCAACTAGTAACGGTAAGGTATCAGTAACCACATCTTCCCACAGAAAAAGAACAGATTTTCCCACATGAGGGAGATAATGCACCTTTATAAAATAAACTTATGAAAGATGGAAGCATTAGCATTTCTCCTTACACATGCAAATATTCTGTATTGACTTTTAAGATGGACGTTGGTACATAATCTTACAAACAGCTGACACTTTCCTTCTGAAAATTCACACTTTCCTATCATCCCTGAAAACTATGATTCCATTCACTGAGAAGAGCCCCAGTACATGAATCATCTGAAGCCTCTATTTTAAACTTTCCTCTAAAGTCACATTAGAAAATAGATAACAAATACTTTATTCCAGAGAATTCCCTTCATCCTCATTATCTTTACAGTGACAAAAATACTTGAATCAAGAAACGCAAGTAAAAATTGGCAGTAATCACTTGATACCTTGTAGCACCCTTGTGTTCTAATCACCGCACACCACTATTAAAAGCCATTTATTAACTTTAAAAAAAAAAACAAAAAAGAAACAGTGAATTTTAAAAAGTGTATTTAATAGGTGTAACCATAGGTACATACTGGATGTACAAATGGAACTAAATTTTCTACTGAGAAGTCACAGGACATTACTATTTTTTTCATGTTATTTTGCAATATTTTCACTGACAAGCAGATTTTCTGAGTGATTATTATTGAATTGTAGTCAGCTAAGTGAATTCTAATTCCACTTACACCATGCTAAAGGATGGCTTTGCATCTTGATCAGATAGAGAAGCAATATAATGCTGAGGAAAACCTGAAGAGAAAAACATCCCATATTACCAATTATAAACATGAAACTAATCCTTCTGTTTCTTACTTCAATGGAGAAGTTCAACAACTATTCTAAACATTAAGGCCTACCTCTTTTGTTTGTTTATTATTACAGAAGGAATACACTCTTTACTAGGTATCAAATTCTTCTTTACCTGCATACACCAACAAATCCCTCACTGTATTCCCTCCAACTGAAAAAAAACATTTTCATAGACTTCATATTAATTGAAGCTTATTGGAACCCATTTCTTATGAACAGCTAAAAAGCAAATTATGTGCAATGGTAGGAAAGCAGAAAGAGTACTGAATGAATGTTTACTTGAACAATAGTTTCTATTTGGGGCCAAAATCTTTTTATGTGCAGGCACCAAGCGCATATTCACTTTCCAAGCGCAGTTTACGACAGATGAGACTATAGCACTTTATGGGTGTAAAAGATACCATTCTTTCCACCACTTATTTTTTTACAGCTCATGTCAAGTGGGCAGTCAGCAGTTTCCAACTGCTGCTCAGGCTTTACCTAAAACAAATAAATATTTTCAGTATTTAAATCTACACATGAGAATACATATATTCATATCTGTGAAAACGTGTGGATGAAAGTGAGAAATCAGTGCTCTATTTTGTGGCATGAGAGTTCCTATTCTAACTCCAAGCTTAAATTTATTGAGAAATACATCAAAAGAAATGGCACCTAATCCATTTGCTGAAAGAACACCACAAAAGCGCTCCTAACAAACATGTATTACATGGCCAAATAGGTGTCTCTTAGAGTCAATAAAGCTTATAATAGTTGCCTCCTGCAGGGAAAAAGAAACCCAGAGGGAGAAACAAAATAATTTTTCATCCTTAACTTCTAAGTATTACAGTTACACCAAATACTGAAAAAACAATATAACTGTACTTCATTTTTTCAAACTGAAATCAAATAATCTGCCTTACTTAGTTCTTAACTTTACTTAAAAGCTGACTACTTTGCAGGAACAACATTAAGAAAACTTATGTTTATTCAGCAAAATAAATGTCAAAATAAAAAAAAAAAACCTCACCAATTTTCAATGTCTATTATACTTCTAACTATTTTTATGGCTTTGACACAGATGACGCAAAGAAAGAAAAGGACAAGACTTGCAAATTTGTGCTAGGATTTTAACAAAACCATATCCTACCCATTCGAATAAGAGAGCACTCAGAACTTGAACTGGTAGGTAGAGGACGAACATGATGCATCAGCAGCTCCTTATAATGACTTTCATCTAAAATAACGTGGTATGTTCCTGTCACAAAGAAAGAAATGCCTTACTCTCAGATTACCAGCAGGTAAGAATACAAACATACTCTCCAGATGACAGAAAATAACTTAAGTAAAAAAAAATAATTTAGCTAACCCTGTTCTTAAAAACTAGTCCTGTTAAAGATACTGAAAATAACAAATTTTCAGATTAATAAGAATGTTCAGATTAACAAGGATGTTTAATTAGATATGAAAGCCCATAGCTTTTTCTCCAACATTTCACTGTTAGTAATGTTATTGTAAGAGTTACCACTGTAGTAACTGATATTAACAATATCAATTTAGTATCGATATTAACAGTATCAACAGTTCCACATAACAGAGCTTTATATGAGCAACACTAGGTTTTAAAATATATATATATTTCTTCTCTCTAGAGATGCAGGTACCAACTGATAATTTCACTGACTATTGTGTGTTTTGTACATTTGAGAAAACCTTAAATTTTCTGCCAGCACAACAGAATATTCATCCTTAAATATCAAAATGCCTTAAGGAATATATGACAAATTAGTTACCTATTTTTTTTATTTAGAACTTGTATTAGTAGTATAACTACCGAGCTTCAGATACATACCACCAGTTTCTCGGGCAAGTACTGTACAAACTCGAACCTCAGCACTTAGGCCGATGACAGACACTCTGATCTTAACTGCTTTTAAACACTTCAAATGGAAAAAGAAGGAATACTCAAATTTATGTGCAGAACAGAAAACAGTAAAAGGTTCAAAGTTTTAAATTAAAATCTATCAGCAACGACTCTGCAACTGTCTTAGTCTAATGTAGTAGTCAAACTGGATGTTCAATGTAGTAGTCAAACTTCACTTCTGTACCTTAATCAGATCATAGATGTTGGCCGGATCACATGTCGTCAGGCTGCTGCAGACTACCAAAACCTCTCTGCTTGTATGTGCTGGCATGTGCCTGAAGAAAGTATACGGTTAATTTACTTATAAACAGTAATCTACTTGTATGTTAAAGCTTCCAAGGACTTCTAAGATACTTAAGTGAGAAGGTGACATGATATGAAGTCCCCTTCAAATTATAAGACTGTGGTAAGATCCTTCTATGAGCACCAGAATTTCACCTTCCAAAAGCCAAACCTTTCCAGTATCTAAAACACAGTATTTGACAGTGTAGTTGATACCTGTTTGCTCTAATGCTTAAGCTACTGCAGTACCTTATCTGTACTCTCAGAGGTAAAACTCACCTTCAAACTAGCAACAATGCAGTAAGTCTTCCTGACTTCTTAAAATAAAAAATATCAGTTTATAGGTGTAAATCCATTACTTTAAACTAGTTTTTTAGTTCTTAATGGAACTCTCTTCCAACTAGTTATTCAAATAATTTTTATGTCATTTACTACTAGCTTTATTCTGCCAATGTTTCTAGCTGTTATTACTTGTTAAAAGTCTCCTGCATGTTTTTCCCCAACTCCATACCACACATAGCAAAAGTTTTTTACCTTTCTAAAGTATGCCAAAACTCCCACCAGATTATTGTGATTCAGTGCTGCTTCTCTTCCTTCATCATTAACTCTAACTCCACTCCGTCTCATACCTTAGCCCTCTTGTAAAAAACAACTGCAGGGTCTTCCATCAGCATATTCATACACAATATAAAACCACCTACTTAAGTTTTAAAATATTGTTGCTTTCTATAAGCAAAACACCTCTAAATAGAAGCATCTTCTGTTAGAAAATTAACTTCTGCAAAACTAGCATATTTAACTCCTCAAAAGCTTGTATTTTAAGAAGTCATAAAGCTGCCTTTCAGAGACTCGGGTCAGCACAATGCACAATGCTACTTGTAAAAAATACAGTCTCTGCCCCTCCAAAAATTCACAATCAGCATTATACTGATTATGGAAAACAAAGAAAACAAAAATCCTCTGCATGCATATACTAACTTTAAAGTCTGCATAGCCAAATTTAGGGCATTATACAGAGATGGCTCTCCACTGCAGTTCATATCCAGTGCTTTCTTCAGAGCAGTTAAGTGCTTTTTTGTGTTACCTGTAAGTGAAAAAAAAACAATGCACCTGAAATAACAAGTCAAAATAACTGAAATATTTAAACTATTTATTTAATGAAGTGTACTTGTACAATAATATTTTTCAAACTGAGACTTGTAACTGCTTCGCTTAGAAATTAACCTCTTGGTCAGAATGTAGAAAACGGTAAACCAACATACTAACAGGAAGTAGTTACAACTACTCTGCGAGCACTCTATTATTAGAACTTTTAAGAAGTCAGAAAGAGTAAAATCCTTGCTGCGTATCACTGAACGCTTGAGTGTGAAGAGTCTCACAAAGCGTCTCAGCAAAAAGAGAGTTTAGTTTCCTCTGTTATCTTCAAAGCATTGTTCAAAGATTGATGGATCCTCAAATTCCTCAATAAGGTTGCTCCAGTTTTGCAAGTGAATAAAGAGTATAAAAATAATGCTTCATCTCACAAGCCACAGGGATTGCTTGTGGCAGAAGGCAGGAACCAAGAAACCGTGCTTATTACCATCTAATCTGATTTCACAGAACACACAGATGTCACAAGACACCAAATCAACATATAACCAAATCAACTATAGGAGAAACAAAATGTATTTTAGTTGCAATCTGTGTAGGGCTTGATCATGAACATGCACATGATAACAATTCTAGATCAAAACAGATTAAAATAAGGACTCTGGTGTCAAATAACTTTTTTTAAATTAAAAATGTTATGTAAACACTACTTCACCTTCAGCAGTGTCAGCCAGGTAGAACTTAGAGTATCAGTGCAACTAATGAAAATATCTCCAATTTAAAAAGAAAATATACTACCTCCCCTACCTGAAAGCTCTGTCATTTTTTCAGCTCTTTTACTCTTGGTTACAATTAAGCCAAGCTGGAGAAGGGAAAAAAAATAAGAGACAAAACTTTTCTTAATAAGTTTAAAAAAAAGTTTATTTACATTTCTGGTATATTTTTCCTAATATTTCTTTATGGATCAAAATTACTTAACTGTATGAATTTTCTTGTAAGTGTAACAACAGCAGCACAACATTATACATCAGTTAACATATATTTCTGTATTTCCAGTTCTTTTGCCACAAGGTACAAAAAGAAATCTAAAATTCTGAATACCTGAAAAAAATCTTATCAGATTTTCTGTATTAGAACTTATTTTTAAGAAAAAGGAGCCAGATGGGTTCTTACTTTCATTAGTTCAGGCAGCATTTCACCAGACTGATGATGAAGGGATAGTAAGGAGCACATCAATTGAAAACAGTTTCCTAGATAGTGTTAAAACTAGACCCAACTTTTAAAGTAGTTTTCAGTTACTTGTTTCTTGCAGGTTGTACGTACCTGACTAATAGGATTTTGGTCAAAGTACTCTTCAACAAAATACTCCAATAACTATAAAGAAAAGGTAAGACAATTAAAAACTACATACAGTTTTATTCCACATGCTTTAAGTGAAAAGACACTTGCAATTGTTATTAAAAAAAAAAAAAAAAATCGGAAAAAAATGGAGGAGAGAGGAATGGGCCCTCCCTTCCATTTTTCTCTTATTTTATTCACTTTGTATGTTAAAAGTTCTACATTACTGTTGGTTCAAATGGAGGTTCACTATCCACCAAAAAGCACTAATCTCTACAAAAATCATCAAAACCCAGGATTTCAATGTGTAGTGTGGTTAAGAGAAGACCACATAGTACAAAATGCACAGTTTAAGTCCTCCACAGTCTGAAGGAGCAATCCAGTTGAACTCCTGTCTAGCATCCATTCAAACCAGAATGCATCAAAACACAACTGTAAGGGAAAAAAGTTACCTAGATGTATAATGAAAGCACATTTGTTCTTTTCATCCCTTACCGCATGCAACACTTCAGCTTAATTTCCACACTTTTCATAATGTGTTTTACCATAATATGTCTCTACAAAGTGTTTTTACGGTACCAAAGTGCTTGTCAAAGGCAAACTAATCAAACTGATGTTATACAGATTTTACTATTCAAAAAACAGTCAAGTTACAGACCAGTAACAGAAATAAGACACAAAAAAGTAGGAACAAGAAAGATGAGCCTATGCATGTATGATATGCATGTCACAGAAGACGTTAATTCATGTAAATGCAAAAATGGAACTGGTTTACAAAGAAGCAATGGATTAGTAAGAGAAAACAAATTTTGCATACAGAAATACCTTCAAAGTGCAAGTAAGCCTGTTCGGTTTTAAATCTTGGTCTTCCATAGCTCTTGATCCATCAATAACCACGTAAAGGTGACGCATCTGCATTTGCACAGTAAGTGACAGTCACTCACACAGCATATTTAAACAAACTGTTCAGTATTACCTTTACTTAAAAAATCAACTACTTCCTCCCTTAAACAGGGGAAATTCAATATACTGAGCTATGCAATCAACACTGCCAATGAGCAAAGAATTAAAAAAAAAATAAAGGCTTGTGGAAAACACAAGCTTTGGTCTCAAGCACATTTAGTCAGCATAAGTGTATTTCAGATTAGACATACCACCTCTAATCAGTTTTGGACTGAGGACACACAAGGGTTAAGACATTTACATACCATTCCAAGTCGAACTTGTCCATGGTGTTCATAGAGTCTAATAAAACAAAAAATAACTTAAGTAAGATGCAAACAATTGAATGGTTCCTAAACCAAAAGTCTGGAAGAAATCCAATACAAACACGAAGCAATTACAAACACAGATACTTATTTACACCAAAAAAAGGACAACTTAATTACAAACAGATTTCATGCCTCTCTGAAAACAAACAAAAACCTATTTCTTACATTTAAAATTTCATCCACATTTGAATACTTTAACATAATCAGAAATAAAACAAAACTAGATTTTATGTAGCAATTTTTCTGGACATTTGAAACACGAATCTGGTGCTGTGATACCGAAACCCAGCTCAAAGCATGATCTGAATGTTAAAAAAATGTTTAAGGATTTTCTCTAGGCAGTGTAAATTGGAGTGGCAGTGCTTTGCACCATGTTTCACTAGATCAAGACCTCACCTCATGAGCTAGCATACATCTAGGCTATCCAGCCTGTGTACATTCATTCTTAACGTTATAGGCAAAAATAAATTTTACTGTCTTTTCAGGCACAACTAATAAGTAGCTGGCAAGCAGCACACATTTGGAGCTCTGAAGGGGTAAGGACACAAAAATGCACAGCAGGGGTGCCAATAGGCTCACTGAACTTAAGAGGAGCCAACATGAGAATTAAGCCCTTATAACTGACCAAACCAGGAACATTGGCAGGCTCATGGCAACACACAGAATCACAGAATCAACTAAGTTGGAAAAGACCTTCAAGATCAAGTCCAACTGTTATCCTAGGACTGCCAAGTTCACCACTAAACCATGTACCATGCCTCATCTATGTGGGTTGTGAACACTTCCAGGCTGGTGACTCCACCACTGTTCCAATGCCTGATCACCCTGTGAAGAAGTTCTTCCTAATATCCAGTCTAAACCTGCCCTGGTGCAGCTTGAGGCCGTTACCTCTTGCTCTATCACTTGTTACTTGTGATAAGCCACTGATCCCCATCTCCGTTTGACCCTTCTCTTCTGCAGACTAAACACCCCCAGTTCCCTCAGCCGTTCCTCATCACACTCGTGCTCCAGACCCTTCACCAGCTTTGTTACCATTGTCTGGATCCGCTCCAGCACCTCAACGTCTCTCTTGTAGTGAGGAGCCCAGAACTGAACACAGGATTCGAGGTGCAGCCTCACCGGTGCCGAGTGCAGAGGGACGATCACTGTCCTCTCCCTGCTGGCCACGCTATTGCCGATACAGGCCAGGATGCCATTAGCCTTCTTGGTCTTTCTTCTGGGAACAAGCTGGCTCATGTTCATCTGTCTGTTGACCAACATCCCTAGATCATCATACCTTTTCCTCTTTGCCTTGAAGAGGATGCTCTCGATGGTCGGTCTCAGCGAGCCAGATTCATCTTCTTTAAGAATTTCCCTAGGCAAAACAGACCGTGAGTGAGCAGAAGGGAGATATCCTCGTTTTCTACCTCGGTAAGAAGGTGAAGAGGGAAAAGAGAAGCTTACCATGTTCTCTCGTAGCCTCCTTCCCAGCGCTTTGTCCGTTCGGGTTCCTCTTCCATCTCTGCGGCTCCGCTCTCCGCCGCGAAGGCACCGCAGCCTGCACCGCCTGAGGGGAAGCCCGGTTACAGTGCCACAGAGCGGGTGAACGCGCTGGAAGAACCAGCCCCAGCCCGAGGGGAGCCGGGAGGGCCGAGAAGCACCGGACCCACGGTCAGCCAACTCAGCAGCCAGGCCCAGCCGCCGCACCGCCTCCCCCCACCCCGACACGGACCCGGAACTGCCGCAGCACGCCTCCTGCCGCTTGTGTGCGCCGCCAGCCCTTCGGCTGCCGCCCGCGCCGCCGGACTATCGTTCCGGGCAGGAGCGGCGGCGGCTGAAGCAGGGCGAGGCCTTGCAGCAGAGGGCGAGGCCTTGCAGCAGAGGGCGAGGCCTTGCAGCAGAGGGCGAGGCCTTGCAGCAGAGGGCGAGGCCTTGCAGCAGAGGGCGAGGCCTTGCAGCAGAGGGCGAGGCCTTGCAGCAGAGGGCGAGGCCTTGCAGCAGAGGGCGAGGCCTTGCAGCAGAGGGCGAGGCCTTGCAGCAGAGGGCGAGGCCTTGCAGCAGAGGGCGAAGGCAGGCCTGGTGGCTGTTGCCGGTCATACCGGGTGTGACTGGCCCCGAGCTTCACACCTAGCCTCACCCCGGGCGGGAAGCGGGCCCTCGGCGGGAGGGCGTCTGCCCTGCCTCGACGGCGGCTGTGGCTGCCGTGGCAGTGAAGTACAGGGTGTTTGTTACAACAGCATCGAAACACTCCGGTGAAGTCATTAATGCTACAACACGTCCTGAGGTACAGCAGTAGGGGAGCCTGCGGTAGGTTTGTCAGGTCAATCAGGCCCTCGCTCAGAGGCCAGGTAACAATTAAGGCACTGTCAGGGTTTTACGTGGTATTTCTGTAACTAACAAATAATTTCAGTAATTAATAGAAGAATGCAGGAGCCTGGGAAAAGGCCATTAGTTACTTGCGCTAGAATTACAGAATCATAGAATAGTTTGAGTTAGAAGGGATCTCCAAAGGTCATCTAGTCCAACCCGCTGTCATGGACGGGAACACCTTCAGTAGATAAGGTTGCCCAGAAACATGTCCAGCCTGGCCTTGAATGTCTCACTGTACCACTGAATTCTAATGCTCATAGCTTACTTCATGAAAATAACTGCCTGTTACCCTGTTAGCAAAAGCACCTCTTTGTTCTAAAGCACAGAACTTGGAATACATTCATTGCTGCATTTATTGTTACCTCCAGATACCTGAAGTGCTTGGAATAGTGATTATCTCCATGTGCAGGCAGAAAATGGATTGTACTTCTCACTGAAAATGGGCTGTTGTATTTATAGTTGCTGACTAATCACCTTTCCCAGCTGCTGTGATTAGCTGTGATAAAGATTATAAAACTATATTTAACTATGTAACTTTCTTCTATCACCCTTACTTTGCTATGCCCAGAAATTAGAATCATAGAATAGTTAGGGTTGGAAAGGACATTTAGATCATCTAGTTCCAACCACCCTGCATGGGCAGGAACATCTCACACTACACCATGTCACCCAAGGCTCTCTCCAACCTGGCCTGGAGCACTGCCAGGGATGGAGCATTCACAACTTCCCTGGTCAGCCCAATCCAGTGCCTCACCACCCTTACAGTAAAGAACTTCTTCCTTATACCCAACCTAAACTTCCCCTGTTTAAGTTTGAATCCATTACCCCTTGTCCTATCACTACAGTCCCTAACAAAGAGTCCCTCCCCAGCATTCTTGTAGGCCTCCTACAGATACTGAAGGCTGCTACAAGGTCTCCACGCAGCCTTCTCTTCTCCAGGCTGAACAATTCTGCAATACCATACCAGTTGTTGCCAAATGGAGTATGACATGGTCCCTACATCTGGGAGTTTACAACAGCAACTAGTTCACCTTTTGAAATCAAGAGGATGATTTGTTTAAATACAAATTAAAAAGCCATTTCAGCTGAATGGATTAATGTCAGAGTACTTCAAGGACAACATGGTGATCAAAAGTTGCCACAGGATGGATTGGCCTTTCTGAGAGTGAGGCAGCAGAGAAAAAACAAATTCGAGCATACAGTGGAACAGAGGGACACATCTGTTAGCAGGACAAACTCACTAATGGACAAACAGGATCAGAACTATGAAACATTAAAAACTACCAAGATCTGAAATCTGCTGTGGAAAAGAAAGAAAATATTTACATATGGTTTACATATGCCTATATATATATTTTATGTATCTCCAGAACAGAATAATACAGTGGCAGAAAAAGAAAATTACTGTACCTACTTAATTACAGGTAGACAGGAAGAAGCCAAATGACATCTACAAAGTGCACATATTTTAGGAATAGGAGGGAATAAGCAGTCTTTTCAGGACGAAAGAATGCACACATCATAGCCATTTTACATGTTGTAATTCCACAAGGTCTTTATATTTAAACAGGACCACAGCACAGGTTCTAGAATGGTATGAATCTCAAACTATTTTGTAATAGGTAATGGGTTCAAACTTAAACAGGGGAAGTTTAGGTTAGATGTAAGGAAGAAGTTCTTTACTGTAAGGATGGTGAGGCACTGGAATGGGTTGCCCAAGGAAGTGGTGAATGCTCCATCCCTGGCAAGTGCTCAAAGCCAGGTTGGAGAGAGCCTTGGGTGACATGGTTTATTGTGAGGCGTCCCTGCCCATGGCAGGAGGGTTGGAACTATATGATCTTAAGGTTCTTTCCAGCCCAAACCATTCTGCAATTCTATGATTCTACCTAAAGTAATTCCAGACAGCACTGAACCGTCTCATGTCATCAAGAGTTTCTGTTTCAGAAGCATCACAGTGAGGATCATCTCAATAAAGCTAGATATTTAGCCAGTTTTTCTGCAGAGCATTCATAACCTTCCTGGATACAGTGGAAGTGTGCCAAAACTGGGTTTGACCTCTTGAATTGCAGGAAAGTTGCCGAGCATCCGCTTTTAAAAGGGTGTCACTCTGCGTCCAAGTAAGACAATAAATGAGGAAGAAAGTATTTAAACAGTAGTAACATTTCCTTAAATAGGAGGGGGAAAAAATCTTACTGCTTCTGTATCCTTCAGCCTGTTGCATTTATCAGGAGCAATTTTTATATATAGAGGAAACGGTAAAGAAATGAACTGGTTTTCAGTAAAACCATACTTGGGAAAAATCCAAGATATTGTGAAGGAAGGCAATGAAAACTACTAAAGATGGAAAAAAAGGGAATTCTTCTATTTAAGAAGTAAAGATTTCCTTCTAGGAACTGAAATAAAAGTTGAAGTTTCAGCTACTCCCATTAGATCCCAACATCCTGTCTTAAGAAGGAAAAAGCCTAATTTATAAAATGGAAATGGAAGAATGGCTGCAAGCTGAAAATTTTCATAGAAGAGAGAAATGAGACTCCTTTCAGAAAAGGGATACTTTATCATTGTCAAGTCCAAGAATTTAAATGCTGGACAGGAATGCAGGATATACAATCATTTTGCAGATTATGACTGTCCAAATGGTTCAAATCCCACCATTATTTTGAGATTAATAAATACTGGATAGCTGCTTCTACAGTTTCACATCAATTAGGTTTTTCATTACCACAAGTTTTTTAGTTGAATCACTGTCATGGAAACTGGTCCACCATACTATGCAATACAAACCTTTGGTTACATTTGTTAGGTGCTGCTTTATCTGACCTGCAAAAATGTACAGATTAGGTAAGGGTATGTTGCCACAGTTACCTTGATCAAGGATGTTTATCAAGAAAAATGGATGTCTCTGAGGCATTTCCCTTTGTACACCCATGGAGCCAGGTGGGCATTTTCTCAGAGAAAGACTGAAGGGTAAAAAGTTCCTGTTAAACACACACTACTTGTGAGGAGAGGCTGTCATTGTAAGTGGTTGCTGTATACCCACTGATGTAGGGCAGTGTTACTTGAGAAGATTTAAAGAAATGTTAACTGCCTTTTGCAGAAACCCAGTCACACAAGTAAGACCACATAGCAGACTGTTTACATGTACATGCAGATTAACAAAGCTAAGGCTGAGAGGCTGAGGTGATAATCATGTAATAACTTTAGTTTGGTCTGAAGTATACCTTCTTTGAGGATATCAAGAGACCACTTTTCCCTGATAGTTAAGTGACAAGTAGTTACAATTTCTGCCTAATTTGTGTCTTGCATTTGACTTGGCTTTAACCCCCAGCCGTTAATTCTTATTTCACTCATCTCAATTTCTCTGAGAAAGAAAAATGTTTCTTAGACCAGTATTTTTTAATCTGGCAAGTTCAGAGCACCATTGACAACACCCTTTTCAGTCCTCCATTGATAGGTTAGAACAAAACCAGCTCACCAACTGTATGCACCAGAAGTGCCTGCTTAGCAGTGTCAAGGTTCCTAACAGCTCCAGGACTGAGCAAGTAATTTACTCTAAGGGGTTGCCTTGCTGGACTTCTTAAACTGCAAAGGTAAATACCTTCTCCTGGGGGTATATGCACTGCAGTAATCCTATCTGAAACCCAAAAGGGTGGCAGAAGGGAGTATTCCTACATATCTTCTCTCCCCAGCTTTTGGAAAATAGACCTTTAGCACTTTACTGGGAAATGTGGAGCAATCCACATACAGCTGTCTCTCTCTCCCCTTGGTTTATTTCCTTGTGCCAGCCACAGGCAGGGCATCCCCTTTTTCCATCCCATCTGTTCAAAGCTTTGCAGGAAAGGAGCATGATGGTTCTGCAGATACTTTGCAGGCATTGTCTGAGAGGCCAGGAGCCAGTTCCTCACAGACTGAAACTCAGACCACTGCCAGAGGAAGCCTGGAGCTTGGTGTCAGTGTCCTGCTAGAGGAAGGCCTATTAAAGGTGCAGACTGAATCTTCCATTCAGGTACTTTTTAGCACTTTCTAAACATCAGAATGATCCTTAAACTTGGATTAGGCTTCTTCTGGTACTGACAAAATACCCAGAACTCTCATCAAGAAAAAAAAAGAAATCTGGATGTACAGTGAGAGATCATTTAGATTGCAGGGATTTGGACAAGGACCTCTTGTACAAAGAACAGCTTAACAACTATACAGCACACCAGGCACAGAACCCTTGACCTAGCTCCTTTATAGGGTAGAATCTAAGACAGGCACCTAAGAGAGGGAAAACAAGGGATAGCACTGACTACCATCTGATTTCAGACTGAGGAAGTACTGAGACATCTTCCAGGTAGATGAGACTGAAGGTTTTCAAATGAAGGACTTGCCAAGCTTTCAATTTCTCTCAGCATTCCCATAGTGTCTTCTGTTATTTACTTAATCCACTAAAACTCTTATAATTAAGTGGCTGATAAAATTGGAATGTCAATTTTATAAATACGCAAGTGTGTTTGTAGCCATCAGGACTGCAGTGTGAATGATAAGGGCTCAAAAATTAGATGGGATATAACTGCCAGAGCAAGGTAGATTAGTGCAGTCACAGTACCGAAAAAGAGAGTTCAGAAGAACCACTGCTGTTGCTGGAGAGTGACTCTTCATCAGGGACTGTAGTGATAGGACAAGGGGTAATGGGTTAAAACTTAAATGGGAAGTTTAGATTGGATATAAAGAAGTTCTTTACTGTGAGGGTGGTGAGGCACTGGAATGGGTTGCCCAGGGAAGCTGTGAATGCTCCATCCCTGGTGGTGTTCAAGGCCAGGCTGGACAAAGCCTTGGGTGACATGGTTTAGTGTGAGGTGTCCCTGCCCATGGCAGGGGCTTGGAACTTGATGATCTTTAGGTCCTTTCCAGCCCTACACTTTTCTGTGATTCTATATCTTTCCTTTAAATTAAGGCAAATGTTAAAACCCATTTTTCGGAAAAAAAGAAAATTAAGAAAAATTTGAAATAACCTTCATCAGAGCACCTTCTTCTAACACAATGCCTTTATAAGCAATAGAAAAATAACACGGCTACACTGGTGAGGGTGTTTTTTTTTTCATATTAAAATGTATTGCCAAACAGATAAATGGCAGTTGTAGAAAACTGTACAATGAAACTATCAATGCTTCTAACAATTTTAGTAAGTAAAAAAAGTACACAAAATGTGGAAAAGATACAAAGAAAGGTTATAAGCATATGCAAACATTTGCATGTACAAATCTATCCCCAAGGTAAAGTATAAAAATGTATATTGAATTTATACAGATACACTCTGGAAAGCATGTCTATTAAAACATTTTTCCTGGCCTTATAAAGGATACTAATAATTTATATTCTGGATGAGAATTAATTTTGCAGCACTTTCTCTCTGAATGCCAAGTTCACAGACAGCTGCTGCTTACACAAAAAAGTCCTGTTACTTACTGATGAAGAATAAAGTGTTTTGCCTTTAAACCCATTGTTTCCTACCAGGATGACCTAGAAAAGGTGTGCAAAGCATACGAGCCTATAGCAACACTAACAGAACATTAACACAAGTCTCATCCTGGACCTCTGTTCCCTTAAGGCCATGTGTAGATTTGTTGCATTACACTGAAAGAGGGGAATAAAAAAAAAACCAAAACCCCCAAACCCCCCCAAACTCCCCCAAAACACCAAAAAAACCCCAAACCAAACCAAAACACCCCAAACAAACCAACCACAAAAACAAACTCCCCCAAAACAAAACCAACCAACAAAACCCCAACACAAGCTACCCCTTTCACCCACCCCACCCCGTAAGTAGGAAGTGATCTTGCACCTCTTGGGCAAAATTCCAGATGATTTGTGACATACAGCAAAGCATTTGGAAACACAATACAAAGTCTTACTAAACTGATTTTTGACTTGCCGAAATTATTCAGCATGATTAAGCGCATGATTAAGCGCTCCACTAAACCCCTGCAGAAAAGAACAGTGCAATAAGTTTTGCTATCATTAAGATGTCACCTATAAATAGAATTTTAAATTGTTAACAGCATCTCTGTGCACACTTTCGACATGATACTTAGAACTGCCTTCTCCAATGGGCTTTGCAAGTTTGCAAGTACAGTATTTTCAATCAAAGCATTCATACTTAAGAGGCCAGGCTTTGTACTGTCTGGTAAGAACAAAATGTTATCACAGGTTTTCTAAACTCATCAGATAACTTCACTACATTAATTTAAAACTGGGTCTGCATACAAAACCTACCAACAATGTACAACATCCAGATAAGCAACACAGTGATTACGTAATCCCCGCAATTGTTCTGAAAGCAAATAAATAGTTTAAAATACACATATCGATTTAAAGCATAGAAAATAACCGCCACAAAATGAAAGCATAGCTAAGTTTCTACACTCCAATTAATAACTTTATCATAGTCCTGAATTCGTTGTTTTATGTGAGAAAGCTTATTCTTTAGGTATTCACAACGCTCCTTTTTCTCCAGAAATGCAGGATCCTGCCAAAAATAAAAACATTTACATTAACACATTACACTTTCAGACTCTTCCAAGAATACTGTATTATCAATTATGTTCTTAATTAACAACAGTATCTAAATATTCTCCAAAAAATCACACTTTTCTCCTAGCCACTGTTTCTTATTCCCTGCTTCTCCTTCCTTTATGAAAGACTGGAAAGAGGTTCTGCTTTTATATGCTGTAGTTATTTAGTATGCAGAGCAGTTTTTAAACAGAAATATGCAAATATAAGTTACACACTACTACATAATTTAGATTTTATAGGTATGTCATGATATGTCTAATCCCTCTCCCCAAAACCAGAAATGAAGTTTAACAAACATAGACACAAAATTCAAATTTCATGGGGAGAAGGGAAGGAAAAAAGGTATTCATAATGCATTATGTTTTTAATGGAACAGAGGTACCTGTGTACTGCCTGCATTTAAAACTGACAAAGCGAAACTTCTTGGATTACACTGAAAATTACTTTTTGTGAGTCTAAGTTCCAAGCCACAAAAATACAAAACTTTTCAAGGGTAAGACTATGTTTTCTGTTGTTAGCTTATCTGCTGGCTGTGTCAGCCAGTGAATATAAATGAGCTGGATCCTCAAAATAACCAGTCTTTTGAATGCAGAATGCTGAGAGATGAGACATACTTTCAGGAGATGAAAATGCTTAACTGTTGGTTTAGGTTTTTTTTCTCTCCACATCTGGCTAATGGAATAATTATTCACAAGACAGGCTGTTGCCTTGAGTGGAGAGGACTGTGTCCTAATTTTGCCAGAGTAAAATACATAAAGCCCTGTAACCACTACCTGAGTTGTGCCAAGCATCACACAGGTCTGCTATTTACATTCTCTTTGCTGTTCATTAGATTTACTAGCAACGTAAAGCTGAAAACACTCACATTTTTCTTCTTCTTGTATTCTTGCAGAACTTTTGATATCCTTTCCTGTTCCTAATGAGAGAGACCACACACTTTTAAACATTTTGAGTTTGCTCCATATCTTCATGTAAATTCTACAGAATACTTGTCAGAAATAAAATTCCAATTTGATCAGTCAGATCAATCTATCCTAGTTGTAACATTTTAGTTGTAAACTTTGCATCTGAGAAATAATGAAAATACATTAACCGTAACTCACTCAAACGTGAAAGCTACTATTGTGAGGAAAAGAAACAAACAAAAGAAAACCAAACAAACAAAAACCCAAGAACACCAGAAAAACATGTACGCAACTTAACTGCAACTTGGTATACTTGACTGATGACCAAACAAGAAATAAAATATTTTGGGAAAACTTTCTCTCCCTCAAAGTCACTGCCAGTATAACAAGACATTGTGCCCTAGCTAAAGATAATGAGAAACTGCCTAATGCCACAACTGATTTCAGGTACTTACATGTATGCTTTCAGGATGGTGAGGAAGCTGTCTCAGCAAGACATCCAGCTCATCAAATTTTTTCAATACAGCATGAACTTCCACCGACAGCTCTTTATACTCAGCAAACTGATCATTGAATACTGCTTTGTACCTGTCTCGCATTTCATTTGTTTGAATGGCTGGGTATTTCCTTTAAAAATAAATAAATAAAAGTTTACAAGGACTAGTTTTGGAGATAGGACTTCAGCAAACACATGGACCATTCACCTTGATACTGTATTTCTGTAATGTTTGCTAATCTCATAACCTGCTGAAATCTGCATGTATATAAAGCATTAGAGTCACAGAATGACAGAATGATTGAAGTTGAAACAGATGAATGGAGGTCATATGGTTCAGCCTCCCTGCTCAAGCAGGACCACCTAGACCAGGTTGCCCAGAAATGTGTCCAGAGAGACTCCATAGTCTTTCTTGAAGAAGATTTTCCCAATATTCAGGTGGAACCTCCTGTGTTTCAGTTTGTACCCTGGTCTATGGCATATAGTATAAAAATTAATTTATGCTCTCACACTCCACCGTGGAGAGACATGCCTTTTAAAATGGAGCATGTTAATAGATTTAGCACTTAGGAAATACAAGAGAAGTCAAATTTCAGACACGTATTTTCCCCATGTATTGTATTTTTTTCTAAATTGTCTGTGTGGTAGTCATCTGTTCCTTTGGCAATTATTACACTTGCCATATTATAACTTTCTGCTTTAACATCTTAAGTGTTGTTTTTTTTAAATTTCATTTTCTCTATTTACATTACCAGTTCTATGGCATTGATACCAGCCCCCATAATCTCTATTTTGAACATTGACTTGATAAAGAATTATGAGCTCACATAATGCAGACATGGCTAAGAAGTCATAAATGTATACATGAGAAATGGTGAGTAAAAAGCATCATTGAAGTATTCTCCATTAAGCCTGTTCATCAAAGTCAAGTCACTTACGCTAAGTAGTCCGGCATCACTATAGGTTTAGGAATGTGGCCTGCAGGTATATGACCATTAAGTAGTTCTGGTTTTCTTTCTACTGATTTAAGCTGCCTGTAATTGACCTCTTCTCTTGGTCTGTCATCACTTTCATACTGTTAAGAAAAAAAACAAATGAAAAACCAAAACAAAACTAGTTCTTAAGTTGGTTTTACTTAAAATGTAATATACATAAACCACAAAATACCCAACTCATCTGAAGACAGACATAAAACTACTGAGCAGGCAATCATAGATATTTCTTGCAACCCTTACTGTAATTAGAAAATTATTAATGAGTTACAGTAATGTTGCTCACATAATCTCCATCTTCAGGTTGTCCTAACAGTGGTACCAGTGAAAGAAAAGAAAGGGCCTTGAAAAGATTTGTCTTGTATATCTTAAAAGAATAATTTGAGAAAGTTCCCTTGGATATCCATCTAATTCTTGAATGAACAGGAATCATTCAGTTTTCTGGGGTTCCCTTTTCTCCCTTGTTTTCTGTTTCCCTTTATCCAGAAATAAAAGCAGGTGGAGTTCTGCTGGAACACATAAAAAAGGATCAAAATCTGGTACGAAGCAACAGAGAAAACAGTGACAGGAAATTCACGGTATCTAACAGGAGACATTTAAAGCTTAAAAAAACACACCATAAATGTTCTGTGAGTCATCAACATCTGCTATACGATCCTATATGACCTTTGCAGTGTACGCAACTTTGTGTGGCAGAAGCAGTAACGCTGCTCATGGTTCAAAACCAGCAGGGAGGTCTTTGGAGCAGCCTCAGAGTTACAGGACCAAGCTCAAATCACAGAGCACCTACCACTATGCTTCCACTGGCCCTCCTCAAGTTAAGCAGCCAGCCAGGAGGAAAGGGAGTCTCTAAAACCCACAGCACATTGGATGACCTACTGTTTTAGCTATGTCAAGCTAAACTCTGTGATATATCACAGAATCATAGAATAGTTAGGGTTGGAAAGGACCTTAAGATCATCAAGTTCCAACCCCCCTGCCATGGGCAGGGACACCTCACACTAAACCACCCTACCTGGACTTGAACACTGCAGGGATGGAGCATTCACAACCTCCCTGGGCAACCCATTCCAGTGCCTCACCACCCTCACAGGAAAGAATTTCCTCCTTACATCCAATCTAAATTTCCCCTGTTTAAGTTTTAACCCATTACTCCTTGTCCTACCACTACAGTCCCTACTGAAGAGTCCCTCTCCAGCATCCCTATAGGCCCCCTTCAGATACTGGAAGGCTGCTATGAGGCCTCCAAGAAGCCTTCTCTTCTTCAGGCTGAAGAGCCACAACTTTCTCAGCCTGTCTTCATACAGGAGGTGCTCCAGTCCCCTGATCATCCCTGTGGCCCTCCTCTGGACTGGTTCCAACAGTTCCATGTCCTTTTTATGTTGAGGACACCAGAACTGCACGCAATACTCCAGGTGAGGTCTCACGAGAGCAGAGTAGAGGGGCAGGATCACCTCCTTTGACCTGCTGGTCATGCTCCTTTTGATGCAGCCCAGGATACAGTTGGTTTTCTGGGCTGCGAGCGCACATTGAAACTGGCTCATGTGAAGTTTCTCATCTACCAACACCCCCAAATCCTTCTCCACAGGGCTGCTCTGAATCTCTTCTCTGCCCAACCTGTAGCTGTGCCTGGGATTGACTGCCCTGACCCAGGTGCAGGACCTTGCACTTGTCATGGTTAAACTTCATGAGGTTGGTATCAACCCACCTCACAAGCGTGTCAAGGTCCCTCTGGATGGCATTCCTTCCCTCCAGCGTATCAACCGAACCACACAGCTTGGTGTCATCGGCAAACTTGCTGAGGGCGCACTCAATCCCACTGTCCATGTCAGCGACGAAGATGTTAAACAAGACTGGTCCCAACACTGACCCCTGAGGCACACCACTCGTTACTGGCCTCCAGCTGGACACTGAGCCATTAACCACAACTCTCTGTGTGCAGCCATCCAGCCAGTTCTTTATGCACTGAGTGGTCCACCTATCAAACTGATGCCTCTCCAATTTAGAGACAAGGATGTCGTGTGGGACAGTCTTGAATGCTTTGCACAAGTCCAGGTAGATGACATCAACTGCTCTACCTCTGTCCATATATGCTACAGAACTTGTCACTTCATAAAAAAGGGTAAGAGCACATATAGAAGCAGTCATCAGATTTGCTATTTACTGTATATTATATAACCTAGGCCAACTAGTACTATCTTCCTTACAAGGTTCTTGTGAATCTTCTAGGTAGGAGAATGTCATCTGGACTATGTTAAAGAATTAAACCTACTAATAAGTAAATAAATAGGTCAATCAAAATAGTCATAAGAAAAAGAACAACCATTTGAGAATACTAGAAAACAGAAAAATAAATTCCTACTTCCTACCTTCTTTTCTGGAAAAGGGGACTGTGTTTTCAGCTGTCAGAAAAAAAAAAAAAAAGACTTCTTAAATTTTATTTTCAGCAAAAATAGTATGCAAACCCGGAGACTTTTAGTATCTAAACTTTTTCAAAATCATGCTGTTCAGAGAATTACATTTATAATTAGGTATGAAGAAACTTTGTATATGGAATATTTCCAGAGCAATTGATTTAAAGACTGCTTAAGAACTGTGGAACAAAAACAACTACCCAAAACTCAGAACAATGACAAGAGCTCCCACAGCATAGCTGTAAGAAAAGCTTGCAGGAATTACTCAGTCCACTTCCCAGCCTCCTTTATTATCTCACATTCCAGTCTGTATTAACTCACTGACACTCTACAGCCTAACTCATTGCTTAGAAAACAACAGTGCACGAAGCAATAGCTCAACCAGCAGCTGTTCTGCACAGCACTCTACAAAACCTGACCTTTTACAAAAGTATTTCCTTTAGAAATATTAAGTAACTGAAAGAACAGAACACGGACAGTAAAAGTGGCTGAACGCCTTCTGTGTAATTCAGCAATCACCTCATTCTTTCCGGGCATACCAAAAGTTGGTTAAAAAACTTCCATCAAAGAGATGCAATGTACTTTTCAAATGAAAAAATCTCAGTTTTATGCAAGGTGGTGGAATGGAAACCAGTGTTAAATTAGAACACTGCAGTCACAGAGCAGAGGAAATGTGACTTTAAACTTGCTCTCTCCTACTGGATTCACCTAAATGCCAATTCACATACATCTATTTTTATGCTATATTAAGCTTTATTAATATAATTTTTTTTTATGGTGTTTTCATGTGAAGGAGGTTTAAAAACAATGACTTTGAATTCTCTAGTTGAGAGTGCTACGCCTCTGCTATTACAGTTCATAATTAATCAGGCGAGTATAGAATGCTTCCAGTAAGGGCAAGGCCAGCAGCAATGCAAAATGCTTGATGTGAAAAAGATGAAAGTATTTGAAATCTTAGATATGAAAACCCAGCCAACTCTGTCAATACTATTATTTCTGATCACTATTGTAAGGAAATCAGAAAAGATCTGAAGAAATACCTTGGAGTTTTGCTTGCAAAGTAAAAGTGGGTTTTTCATGTGCTTATGGTTATTCACACTAGCACTTACTGTGCTGAAAGTGCAGTTTTCATATACATGTTAGTATATTAAACCTCATTTAAGCCTAACCCTGCTGGTCAGCTTAATAAGCACAGTGCTCATTTTTTCCTTTGTTTAGAAAATACATACCAGGACGCACTTCATCAGCTGAGGCAGGAAAAGAGCTGTGTTACAAACAAAACAGAGCCAGCTCCTTACCAAACTGAATTAAGTAAAAGAAGTAGGAGTCCAAGAATTTGCATCAGACATCTTAAAAAACGCCTTTCATTTGGCGAGTTAAAATGCTGTTAAGACTGGCAGAAGCTCACCCTCTGTGCACCTGCTGCAAAGAAGACACCTGGTCCATGGTACAGAAGGATCTTACAGAACTGCTTTACCTGTGGCATAGAAATATCTTACAACTGCTCCCCATCACATCATACCCTGTAGATACAAAATGATAACTGATGACTTACCTCCTGTTCCATTAATTCCCTGTGCCTTCTAGCTCCTTCATGCCTCCATAACTTCAGAGAAACCACCGCACTAATTAGATAGATGATTACCGTGACAAACAAGAAGACAATTGCTGCTGTCTGACCTCCCTCTACACGGCAAAAAGACGCATTTATCGGCGTCTTAAACAGCTGGTAATAGCAGAGCCCACCTCTGTTGGTATCATTTACGTACACTATGGCAGCTGACATGTACAGAAAGAACAGGACCAAGTTAATTCCGAACTCGGTCAGAGGCCACCAGTTGGAATCGAGGAGAATAGTTCGGTAGTACATGGACATGCCCAGCACCAGCAGCACTACCGTGACTACCCACGACATTCCAGCCGCCACCAGCACAAAGGGCGTTTTGGGTCCGCCATAGGAGTAGCCTCCGTAGGTGCTGCCAGCCGCGTAGCCGTAGGGCTGCGAGTACCCGAACATGTTGTACCACTCGTTGTCCTTGTGCACATAGGCCGTGACACAGGCGAAAACAGCGGCACCCAGCAGCAGCTCGGCCACGCAGAGGATTCTGAGCAAGCCGGCCCAGGACTTCATGTAGGCGTACCGCTGGTGGTAGGCCTCCACCCGCTCGCTGTATGTCTGTCCGGTGCGGCGCTCCAGCGACTCGAAGGGCTCCGCGGGAAGCATGGCTTCGGCCTCCTTCCGCGACGTGTAGCTCCCGCCCGACCCTCCGTACGGATCCTTGTAGGAGCCGGGCACCGACTTACGCTCCGGCGGCAGACAGGCAGGAGAGGCCGGCGGGGAGCACCTGACCCCGTCCGAGACGTACCTGATGTCAGAGGCCGTGCTGTCCCAGCTGGAGTCGTTGTGGCGTCTCCCTCTGAAGAAGTTCTTCCACGAGTCCGGGATGAACCGACGGACCGGCTTGAGCTCGGGCGGCGCGGGGCTGCCTTCCCCGGGGCCAAAGGGAGGCTGCAGGGGAAGCGGAGGCGGCGGCAATGGAGCGGCAGCTCTCGGCTCCGCGTCCCGCGCGAGCGAGATGCCGGGGCTCGTCCCACGGGGCAGCAGGGACCCGCCGGGCCGCCCGCTCTCCGAGCCGGTGCTCCTCGACATGGCTGGCGCTCAGTCCAGCGTCAGGCACCGCTCGGCCACCTCTCATTCACCCGACGGGAAGAAGCTGCCGCGGGGTCCAAAGGGCGGCCGGCGCCGGACGGAAGAAAAAGACGATCCCGCCAGAATGTGTGAGGATTCCGGCCCGGAAATGCCCGATGCCACTCCCCGCCCGGCACCGGCACCTGCTCCTTCACCGCCCCACCTGCGGCGGACGGGCGGCCCTGGCCCGCGGAGGCGGGAGCGGCGGCTTCCGGTCGGCTAGCCAGGGCTGGGAGCGGCGGCCGCTCCCGACCTCGCCCCGGGGCAGACGCCGCGGTCCCGCCCGCGGTAGCGGAGCTGCGACGCGAAGGTGAGCGGTGTCGGGCCCCTCCATGTCACGAAACGCGGTGACTCCTGTCAGCCAGCGGCCGCCGTGGAGCCATCCCGGCCCCAGGGAAACCGAGGGGTTGAACTGGCTGCTCGGACGGAGGTAAAACACCTCCTTGTGTCGTTCATTGATCTAACGTCCGGTGGAGGCAGGCTGAGAGAGCTGGGCTTGTTCAGCCTGGAGAAGAGAAGCCTCCTTAACGGGAGATCTTAGAGCAGCTCCCAGTGCCTGAAGGGGGTTTACAAGAAAGCTGGAGGGGGACTTTTTACAAGGCCATGTAGGGATAGGACAAGGAATAATGGCTTTAAGCTGAAAGAGGGGGGATTTAGATTAAATATGAGGAAGAAGCTCTTCACTGTGGGGGTGGTGAGGCCCTGGCACAGGTTGCTCAGAGAAGCTGTGGTGGCTGCCCCATCCCTGGCAGTGTGCTTGGAGCAACCTGGTCTAGTGGGAGGTGTCCCTGCCCATGGCAGGGGGTTGGAACTGGATGAGCTTTAAGGTCCCTTCCGACCCAAACCATCCTGTGATTCTATGATACCTTCCTAGCTTAACTCCAGCCAGGTGCATGACCATGTGCAAAGTGCAAACAGTTGATTTTATCTCATCTTTTTACTTTCCATTCATAAGAAATACTGTGTTTAAATTAGACCACTAGAGTCTGAAATTGCTGTTCATGGTATTTCACACATCTCAACATGTGTGCATGGGGGGGGCATGATCCTTACTGACTATCCCAAGTGACATGGAGAGGGTCCTGTCACACTTGGTGTTTGACCAGGCTAAAAACCCTGGGATGTGGTAGGGGAGACACAGGGGAGGACTTCGCCTCCATGGAGGGATCCTGTGCAGCTGAACCACAGGAACACGACAAATTCATACAAAGGGAGAACTCTTCAAGGTCCTGATGCAGTGCACAGCGCAAGAGGGTTGTGGCAGCCCTGGGGCTCCTGGTGCTGTTTGTGTGCAGAGCTGCTGATACTGCCAGCCTACTAAGCGCAGTACTCCCATCTCCCAGTTTTCACTGCTTTACCAGGGATCATAGTTACAATAATGTAGCAATAAAAGTTGTAATTTGCTTTTTCTAGTGTGCAGTCACTGATGGTGACTGATGGTTTGGCAGAGGCACCTGCTATGAGCTGGAGGGTGGGGGTCTTGGAAAGGAATTAGGAGTATGGAAACAGGGATGCCCACAGCCTGTCATTGGTGCTCTAATGCACGTGTTTAGTGGAGGTCAGTGCCTGTGCACAGAATACACATAGGCAAATGGTAGAGTTGAGAAGGGTATGAGCGAGGCTGGGACAGGCTCTACTGGTGCCTGATATAAACAGCAAGGGACGTAAGGACATTCTATTGCTCCCATCACATTTTAGCACTTTGTGCCATCACCACCACCACTTGGTGATGTCGTGGCCGGCATTCTGCTCACCAGGCACCAAGCACCAGATGGAACTAGGAGGTGAGGCTGGAGATAAGGAGCAACCTTTACCTCATGAAGGCCTGGTTATGCTATTTCCATGCTTGGAGAGTTTCAAGCCCAGCAGGACAAAGCCCTGAGCATCCTAATCTGGCCCCAGGGCCAGCCCCACTTTGGGCAGAGGTTGGGTCAGAGACCTCCAAAGATCCCTGTTACCCTATGGGATGGCTGCCGCTTCTGTTACCCTGTCAGTACAGGTTCATAACTTGCTGGATGAGCATGAGGCACAGAACACAACCAGGGTTGAACACCAGAGAGACCACAGCTGTTCAGAGAGGAGAACTGTACTGTGGAGTTCCCTCAGCATCCCTGGTTCAAGTTAAACACAGGTGGATTCTAGTACTGCAAAGAAACACTGCTCTGGAGCCAGTGTACAGTTGCTGCTGTTAGCTTGTGTGCTGATGGAAATGTTCAACCTGTGTTCACGTATTCACACCCTCAAATAACATTGTCTCCCCAAAGTCCACTTGTACTCTTACCAGCAGGTAAGTTTCATCCTTTTTGTAAGGAAGGCATACACAGCCATTTCTTGAATGATTTTACAACTGAGTATATGTGTCTCTGCATGGCCGTGTCTGTGAAGTGGGAAAGACAGCGTGTAAAAACTTGCTGCAATGTTGAGAACAGATGAACACGCTTGCTCAAAGAGACTGTAAAGTAGCATGGGAATGGCAACACAATTCTCAAAACAAAAGGCGATGGTACCGATTCCCAGGAAAATCCTGTAAAGATGAATTCACATTTTCAGGGGGACATCCCTCCAAGCCTGCCATCCTCTGTGGCTGAGAGCTTTCCTAAGCAAAAAAATACTTCTTTGTATTGAAAGAATACAGGGCTGGTAGAACTTTTTCTCCATGTAGTTGTTCACTTGCCTTTTGAACTTGTGTAAACTTTGTCTACAAAGTCTTTAACATAATTCCTCATTCCTCTGGGAATCTGAGTACAATGAGGAGCAGTGCACTGGATGAAAGCTAGAAGTCCTCTTTCTCACTGAGCTACTGCTGCTTTTCTGAGAGTAAATGATTTAATTTTTCCTTTCTTCACTTTCCTCATCACTAAGACAGATGTAAATACAGTGTCCTTCATTAATGCAGATTGATGAAAGGTGATGTGAAAGTGCATTAAATCTTTATTATTACAAGAAGGTTCTACAAGAGCTCATGACAGCTGAGTGGAATAAAGGAGTAATTTGGACTGCAAAGCCGTGAAGCACCTGGCAAGTGAATTTCTTACTGTCCAGGTTTGAATTCTAGGCTGCTAAAATCTGTCACCATGCATCCCCACTAAGGACTACAGGAAGAAAAGCTGAAGTTGGGTGGAAAGCCAGTGTTATTTTAAGTATCTGTAGAACTGTTAATAGAAATGCTTAATATGTCTTTGCCTCATTTAAACAACTCTATTTATGAACCTGATTACACAGGAATCAGTAAAACCCACCCTGTGAAATGCTGCAAATCAGCCCTTTGCTTTGAATTAGTGAATATCTCAGTTCTGTCACTGCATTTAATGAAACAAGGGTTAGCAGGGATTCATTCGAGAGCCAGATGTGGCTGTTCTTCTCATGGAAATTCCTTCCCCAAACTCACTGAGGAACTCGAGGCAGAAGGATTTGCTCTTCCATGGAACACTGCCTTGTCTGCAACATGGGAAAAAATAACCTTTCTTGCTTCAAAACCACACGAAAAGAGGTGGTTTTCTACACTTCCACATTGCCATGTGGAAATGAAATACCTGTTCAGATGCGCCTGTTTCCTTTTTCATCTGATACTCCCATCTGGGTGTCCAAGCCTCAGTGATTAATAGACTGTGAAGAGCTGTCTCTGAATAGCTACAGGCAGTTTGAAAGCTTATGAGGAAGAATTAGCAACCAAGGCAACTGTGGTGTTTACTACAGGCCTCCCAAACAAGGGGAGCCTACTGATGAAGCCTTCTTACTGCAGCTGCAGGAGGCATTGCCACCATTCTAATCCTGCTGAGGGACTTCAGCCACCCCAACATCTGCTGGAAAAGTAGCATGGTAAGCTGTAGACAGACCACTCCTGTAGTGCATTGAAGGTAAATTCTTAAGCCAGGTAATAGCCCTGCCAGGGGAATGCAATACTGGACCTGATGGTCTCTAATGCAGCTGCGCTGCTCAGAGGCGCAAGATTGGAAGCAGCACAGTGATCATCCACTGGTGGAGTCTGAAGTCCTGAGAGACATGTGAAGAGTACAGTCGGGACCCTGAATTTTAGGAAAGTAGAATTCCAGCTGTTCAGGGAGTTGGCCAATGGGAGCCCTTGAGGAACCTGCTGCTGAATTGCAGGGTCAGGCTTTAAAACTTTCTTTCAGTACTTACCTCATTTTATTTCTTTGGTAAAATGATGAGCTTTCAGTGGAAAAGTGCTTTAGACTACAACTCATCTTAAGCTACTTACAAATTCTGGGTGCCAAAGCACCTAAAAAGCCTCCAGACAACTATGGCTGACCACAAGAACACAACACTGAAAGAGGAGAACTTAACCATGCTTCTAGACAAAACCTTTTTTTAATTCAAGTACAGTGAATATTCTAGAAAATTTCTGAATGTACAGCAATAGACACAGGAGAAACAAACAGGCAGAGAAAGCCATTCTGGAAGTTGCCCACGCAAAGCAATGATGCCTAGTCTATCTGTTTTTAAAACCTTAACTGGTATGTGGTAAGATTCAGGAAGAAGCTACACAATATAAAGGATCTCCAATCACACATTTAGTTACTACAGCTACATTACATTTCAAGTGTATGTCTCATTAGACAACGCTAATTGGATGCACCTTTGTAGTGCACCCTGCATTAACTTTGTATCCCCAGAATTAACATGAAAACATGCAGTAAGCCCCAAGTCAGTCCTGGCATCTGCAGTCAAATACTTTGAATTCCACTCCAATAAGAACAGATTTCTGAGTATTACTGCCTGCCCTGGTAACATGCTCAGCAAAAGGCCAGTAACCATGCTATGTTGCTGAAAGCAGAGTTCTCCCAGTAACCTGAACGCACAGCCAGTTATGAACAGCAGTGAACCGGTACACTTTGTTATGTACGACAGAAGCAACAGAAGTAATGATCAAGTGCCACATGGCAGATTCACTGTAATGTGTTAAAATACAACCCGAATACTCAAATTTTTAAGCTTTTTTTTAAGACTAATGCTCCCCACTCCCACATGCAAACAAAACAACCAGACCACATTCATATATTAATTTTTATTTTCCCATACAATATTCACAGGGTCTGCTTTTTGTCTTAAACTAAA